CATTGGAGATACAACAGTATCGTGTAAAAATCGAATATGTCAAGGGGAAAGCGAATCCCGTGGCCGATGCCTTGTCCAGAGGTGTCAACATGAGTGAACTTGAGCTGGACATCACTGACATAAAAGATGATCGAATCGTGTGCGCAGTTACTCCAAGTGACGGAACGCCGTGGTTAGAAGAGCTGAGAGATGATCCGGACTACAAATTCATCATTCAAGGACTCGAGTCAGGCCATCTGGAGGAGGAAGTTGCCTTACCCCGGATGGGAAAGAGATTTAAAGTTGTTGACTTTTCGCTGGAAGAAGGCGACTTGAAGTTAATAACCGAAAGTGGCGCAACAGTAAGGGTAGTTCCGAAGAGTAAGAGGAGAGAAGTCTTCGACGAAGCCCATCGAGGGTGCCTTGCTGGCCACTTTGCCGCTAAGAAAGTCCTACGTACGCTGAAAACTAAAGTATTCTGGGAAGGCATGGAGAAAGATGTTTTTAAGTGGCGGGAATGCCGAGAATGTTTTCTCGTTAACCCCAGGAGAAGTTATGTGCCACCATTGAAACCTTTCATTGCCGCAAAACCTTTCGAGATTGTCTGTATGGACCTCCTAGAGATGGGTTTGAGCGTAACAGGCATGAAATATGTATTGGTCGTCATCGACCATTTTTCCAAGTGGATGGGCGCATATGCGATCCCAGACAAGAAGCTTCCACCGTGGCAGGTACCCTTTTTCGGCGATGGATTTGCGAGAACGGCCGCTGGCCGAGGCAGATTCATAGCGATCAAGGTACAGAATTCGCTAACAGCGTCATGGAGGAGCTGACGCTCGTATCTGGAATCACCTTTACAAATACAAAAGGTTATAATTCACGCGAAAATGGTGTCACAGAACGTGTGATAGGAGCGCACCTCCGGTAGCTTCTTCCGGTGAACTGCATCTGAGCGGTGGCAGATATCCTGACGGTGCTATGGCTGTATGGGTCCGTCTGTGATAAAAAGTGAGTCCAAGCAGTGGAACCGGAGGTACGCTTACTGATGAAAGCGTGATGGTTGCGGGAGGCACAAGTCGTGGTTGATTCGGGATGATGTTCAAATGGTGTATTTTGATTGGCCTGTTGACTCGATTTGTAATCATTTCTAGATGTACGGAAGGCCTCCATCTTGTGCACCGGAATACATTATAAACGAAGTCATCGTTCGGAGTGAGGTATATCCTGTAGAAAAGGCAGCCTGAGCTGGGATAGAAGCAATCACAGCCGAGTCCTCCACAGCTTTCTACGCACCCTGTGACACCTGGGAGGTGATTTACTTGCTGAGTTCAGGTATTTTCGAGGAAGCGATGTACTTCTCCACATTTCTGACCAACACATAATCCTTTGTGAGGGCATCGTTTGCTGTCCAAAAGTCCATAAGTGGTGTTTCGAGTGAACATTACGGTCTCCTTCTCACAAATAAGATCAAGTGCTTTCCATAGCAGTTTCACCTCTAGAAGACTTGTGCTGTTGCTTGTCAGGCGAAGGCAAGCCTCCTGCTTGAATGGATGAATCTTTACGATTTCGAGTGTGTCAACAGTACACAGCTCTTCTGCGACGGATTCTTTGCAGGAGTAAGTCTGGTGATCAAAGATGTCAACTTCCTGGCATCCATTAGATAAATTCCAAATGATCGTGAGAGCAATGGCGATTTCTGGCCATAAGCGACGACGTCTAGTCCTGTGTGCCCGTTGTAGAACTTTCATTCCTATAGAAGGTATGGTCCTCACAAAAAAAAAGACACGACATTTTCGCTGTGCACAGTCCTGCACTTCCGATAACCCGAAAATGTGTAGTTTTGGATTCCCTATGATGACTGGCACATGGAACAAAAGTAGCACAACGTGATCAACACGTAGATGAGAAACCCTGTAAGAACAATTGCTGTTCGCGGCCAGCATTCAGGGTTTGCTAGCACCGCTACACAGAATGTGCAGTCAATCTGGTCACAAAATGGTGCTGCCGTGCATGTGGTTTCTAGTACGTCGACTTTGTTGCCATCGAATATTTTCCACTTCACCCAATGGTCGTGCAGTATGACATGTGGAGGAAACAGGACGACTTCTCTCTTTCGTGGATGATCGTATGAGAGGCAGTAGTCTTCAGCCAAACTTCGTACTGGTTTCGTGAAGTTTGTGACAACACAACTCCGCCTTCGGTGCATTGCAGGAAATGCGTTCCATTGGAATCCCCGCGGTAGATATCTGCACATATAAGAGAAGGGTGGTCAGGAACAGAGGGATGTTCCTGATGAAATTGATGTGTCGGCTATTGGTGTCGGGCAGGAGTGGGGGGTTGGTGTCGGGTAAGGACGGAGGGGTGGGTTCGGGTATGAATGGGGTGTTCGGTTTGGGGTGGGATGGAAGGGTAGGTCGTAGTGGAGAAGGAGGGGTGGGTTCGGAATGTGGTGCGTCCTCACGTGGATGAGAGCATGACGGTTCTTCAACGCAGTCATCCGCTTCTTCATATGAAACAGGCTTACGTTTCCGTATGTTGTACCGAAGCTGTGATAAAGATGAGTCAAGCGAAGTGGTGGATGGAGAGAAGGCAAGAGATGGTTGTGCATCCTTCTTATCTCCAGTGGCACAATCTTATTTACTGGGCGTCGAATACGTTGTTTGTTCGGCAGCTCAACAACAACTTCCCGGATCGTGTCGGACATGGTGCGTCGAAGCTCCACAATACGTCCAATTTTCCATGTGTTCCGAGGTTGGACTGAGTCCCACAGTAGAACAATGCTTCCCTCGACGGGTTCCGTGTTTGATCCTCGTTTGTTATCCATGTGGATTTTGTGGTGCTTCCTGAGACTGGTAAGGTACTGTGTGCTCCAGATTCTCCAGAACTTTTCCGTCAATTCCACTGACGACTTCAAAGCTTCTTCGACTCGTCGTTGCGTAGCGAGCTGTTGTGCTTCCTCGGGAGTGTGGTACGTGGTATCTCCTCCTCCTTCGTTCGCGTACTCAAACGGGAAGTCGAGCACAATTTCGTTCTGAAGAAAGTCAACAGCGGCGGAGAATCGGTTGTTGTTCCCACTTCTCTTCTTGGTAGGTGAGGGGCCGTGAGTTGAGCACAGCTTCTATTTCAGCAAGCATTGTTCTCAGCACATCGAATGATACAGTCCGTTTTCCGAGGGCTTTGTATAACGAGTATTTTATGGATCTGATCAGCCTCTCGTAAAATCCACCCTGCCACGGTGCGTAAGGCGTGATATGAGTCCGCTCTATTTCTCGTCGTGCTGTCTCCCTCTCTACCGACGAATCTTGCAACATTCGCTGTACGGCATTGAACAAAATTCGCTCTCCAAGCAGAAAAACGGAAGCATTGTCACATGTAATCGATTTCGGTATTCCTCTTCGGGCAAAGAAGCGACGAAGTGAGTTGAGAAAGGCTTCAGTGGTCATGTTTCTCCTACCAGCTCCAAGTGCACCACCCGTGTTGTGCAACAAGTGAGGATGCATCCATATGCTTTTGCTTGTTCCTCCTTCGTGTCCTTGATTGATAATGGCTTGAAATAGTCTAAGCCTATGTGTTCAAATGGGTGTGACCTTCGGACTCGTTTCCTTGGAAGTTCTTCCATATTGGGACAGCGGAATGGCAGATTGTTAAGCTTTTGGCACGGTAGACACGATCTTAGAATTTTTGTGACTTGCTCCCGCAATCGTGGAATCCAGAAGGTTTGTCGCACTGCAGCCATTGTGTGTATCACTCCAAGATGGTATTGAGTATGTGCTTCCCATATTATAAGCTGTGCCAGATCCTGTTTTTGGGGCGATAAATATCGGCGTCAATGCCAGAATGGTGCCATTGCTGCTTGATCGAGGCGGCCGTAGCAGCGAAGTATTCCTTCTTGGATCTGGCTGTATATTGAGATCTTTCTGAGAGTTGATGCGGTGATGGTCGACCATAGCCTTCTGGTGGTCGCGAATAATGCATTTTTTGGCTTCCCTTAGCTCTATGCCCGTAAGTTCATGTGTAGAGCTCATCGAGCGAAGTGCCGGAATCGTTTCCAGTATAGCTTCTTTCCGTGTTGGTGGGAGATGGTGAAGTAGACGGCAAAGGAATCTCAGTACATACGCCACAACTCTCTGTGCTTTGTGGAGGCTTCCATAGCGTGAGAGGCAAAGTAGTGTTGCGTCGTTCGTGTAGGTTTTCCTTGTCGTCAGAAGAGCAGTGGTCACATTTACAACCTCAGCATCGTCCGTTATTCCTTCTTGATTCTTGACGAGTGGGAACATCTTCTCGAACGCAGGTGTTTGTGAAACATCTCCATGTACAATCTCCGGTCCATTCCACCAGAAATGTTCTTGGCATGGCGCCGAAGTTAGACCACGCGTTGCACAATCTGCAGGGTTGGAAGAGGATGGTATATACCCAAAAAGGATTGTGGCTCCTTGTGCTTCGAGGTTCACGGACAATGTTTCGTATTTCCTTGAGGCGATTGGCCACTAACACTCCAGCTGTTTGGCGATCGGGTGGTGCCTTGATCCATCCTAACGCGATCTCGGAAGTCAGTGAAAAAGAGCACTCTGTTTATTTCCGATGACCTGGCTCAGTGCTGAGTAGACAAAATGAGCTACTCTTGCTCCTAGAGTGCATTTATCTCCAGCTTGGGGATCGTTATCGCCGTTTTGATCGATGGTAGTTTAGATTTCGGCATGACTAGGGGTGTTGTTGTGCCAGTTCCTAGATAAACACATGTCGCCATTGCAAATTAGACTTGCGCCTGTTAATACGAACAAGGTATGGACATCGTCATGGCTAGCCACTTTTCTGTGAATCTCCTTGTAAAATGTTCCTGTTTCGTTAGAGATGCAGCGCCATTGCTCTTGTAAGTGTGACGGTAAAGGCGAATCCCAGTTGTACTCCTCTCCACAAATACTGAAGAAACACCTTAGCCGGTAGTAGCACGGGCACCATTAGTCCAAGCGGGTCGAAAACTGAAGCTAGCTGCATTGACCCTGTGCCTTTTATCGGAAGTTGCTCGAACTTTGCGAAGATGGCGAGTCCTCTTTTCGAGTTGGCTTCATCGAAACGAGTGTGGAAGTGGACAGAGGCTTGTGAAGAGGAAAGGTACAAACTAGAAATTAAGTACGTGAAAGGGAAAGCGAATGTCGTTGCTGATGCGTTGAGCAGAGGAGTACATGTAGAAGAAAGTTCGGTGCCTCTGCGAGGACTCAACGAAGCGGTAGTGAATGCAGCGAGAAAAAGACGAAGTGGCAGCAAGAATTAGAGCAAGACGAAGATTTTTCGCAGATATTGGACGCTATTGACAAAAATGACGTGAACTGTACAGTGAGGATGAGAGGCACAAATAATTGGGTCCGAGTGGCAGATTTTATTGTTGAGAATGGAAATCTCAAGATGTATAATGAGGAGGGAGCACTGGTATTTGTGGTTCCCAAAAGCGCAAGATATGAGATCTTTCATGAAGCCCACGCTGGTGCGGTAGCAGGCCATTTCAGTGCGTTCAAGTTGCTGAAAAAACTGCGCAAAGAGGTATATTGGCCGACTATGACTCAAGACGTGAGCAGGTGGACGAAGGAATGCCAACAGTGTTTTGTTCATAATCCCAGACCGGTGGGAATACCGCCGCTGAAGCCAATCTTGACCACCAAGCCGTATGAGCTTATAGGCGTGGATGTGCTAGAACTAGGTTTGACCACGAGCGGGAACAAGTATGCGGTCACAGTCATTGACCACTTTTCTAAGTTCGCACAGGCATACCCAACTGCGGATAAGTCCGCCGAAACAATAGCAAACGTGATTTTCTCGCGATGGATAGCCGATGGGTGCAGGTGGCCCAAGGCAATACTTTCTGATAAAGGAGGCGAGTTTGAGAACAAGGTTATGGCCGAGTTAATGAAGGTCACTAAGATAAATCACATAATGACAAAAGGGTATAACCCTCGCGAAAATGGCATTACAGAGAGATTGAATGGTACCATTGTGGCAATGCTGAGGAGGTCAACAAAAGTGATTAGAGAAGAGATTACCCTTTTGCGTGCTTGCATACAACATGACCCGTCATAGCTCCACGGGTGAAAGCCCCTTTTTTGGTTTATCAGATAGATCCGTATTTTCCATCAGAAACAGTACCGAATAACGAAATATCGGTGTATGCTGTAAACAGAATGGACGATTATAAAGTAGGATTGATGCAATGCATAATGAGACTCATGAAAGAGTGCGTGAGTACAATGAACGCACGAGAGAGAGCATGAAAAACGAATACGACAGAAGAAATAAAGTAGATACTGAGAGACTTCCAAAATTGGGAGATAGAGTTTATTTACGTGCGCCTAGAGAAAAAGCTCTAAGTTCGCACCCCAAGCTGGTCAGCGAGTGGGCTGGACCCTTTCGTGTTATTGAAACAAGTGATAATTCGGCGGTGATAACCCGAATAGGAGAAAACTCAGAACCAATCCAGGTTCAGTACGATATGCTGAGAATTGTGCCGAAGCAAATTTCTGATGAAAGAGTAGATACGATAACAAGTAGAGGAAAAAGAGGGAGAAAACCAAAGTTAGAGTGAATAGACTGAATGTTGTTCGTTTCAGAGGCGCTGTCATCGAGTCAGCTGAAAGAAAAGACATCTGCAGTGCCGATGTCAGGACGGATGCTTGGAAGAAGCCTGTTTTGGAGATCTGGAGGGCATAGTATTCCCAGGAGCATTAGCAAAAGAACCGCTAGGAACGCTCTCGAGATG